AAACAAATATTACAACAATTCATGTCAGATATTACAAGGTGATGTAAAATTTGCATGCATTCTTTTTTAGTTTAACGAGAGACAAATACACGAGTCTCGACAAGATAAGGTTACTCGTTATGTAATTCTTCTCAAAAAATGCCTTCTGACTGTGAAGTAGTAATTTACAGACAGATACGAAGCATAAATTTTATACGGGATAGTTACATTTGCATTGACATCTAAGATAAAGTTTTTTTACTTTTAAAATTGTTTATTGTTAAAATAGCTATAATAATTGCAAAATTGTTCTCTTATCATACAGGTCAGGATTCAAGTTATACAAGCAATTATAGACTGTTTATAGCGAATTATTACGAAAAGGAAAATACAGGTATTTAAACATTTCTTAGAATTAGTTTCAACGCTTGTAAAAGTAATCGCTCAATCTATAGAAAAGCAGAACGATGATGATTTTATAGATATGCTGATAATCATTACTGAAGAAATGTCAAAATTCCTCAAGGGACAATTAGATGAAATTATGCAAATGTGTATGAACGTATTATCCAATGAAGAGATGCCCGTCTCTTGGAAGCAATCGGCACTAAAACTTTTGTTTACTCTGGCGAGCAGAGAATCAGCTATGGTGCGGAATGTTAGTGAAAAGTACATTGTGTCTTTGGTACTGATGAAGATGAAGACTAACTTGGAGGAAGATGAGAAATGGAGTTTCTCTGATGAGATCACTGAAGAGGATACTGCAGATAGCAAAATTGTATATCCGGAACATGCTTTAAATATTGGTGAGTCGCCTGGGAAAGAAAACTATGCTACCGCAAATCGTGCAAGATACAATCCTTACAATGTTAAATAACAGCGATTGGTAATACAAGTAAATATATACCTCTATATATCTCATACATATATTTGGTTATAAATTTACTGTATCGATGTTTAATATTTAGCGTTACATATATGAGATACATATACATAAGTGTCAGAGAAAAGTCAGCGCGGTTACTTTTATGTAATTGCGTTACATCTGTGATGGAATAATCAATGAGATAAACTTCTTTTCCATCTGCTGCTTTGGCAAATGGTCTGAGATTCTCATTGCGATGTTTAAAATAAGAATTGGCAGTAGTCTGATGTAACTGCTATAATTATAAAATAACATATATTTTTTTCAGAAATTATTAAATAGTCAAATTTTATATTTTTATACTTTTATTTACTACGTGTATGTATAAAATATTTTTTTGTTATTTATAGGCATGCAGCGTTGATTGCTACTTCAGCTATTGGTAAAGTCTGTCCAGACTGTCACAAGCAAATGAAGGCTCGTTTACCACAAATAATGGACGGAATCATAAAATGTTTACAAGATTCGGTAAGTATAATGACAAAATTTTACTTTATAATTTTACCAAATTTTAGCTGTTGATTTTTTTCTACGCTAAATTATGTACAATTTACTAAGATTTACTAAGATTAGGCCACAAATTAATCCGACAGTTATGTTCATGTGAATATGGCAGTGTTACAATTAAGCAAGTGATGCAAATTTTTGCTGTTTTGTTATTACCGTTTTATTAATGCAAATAATCAAGATTATTGTTTCTTGCGGTTCCTGTCGTTGGATTACTATTAGTTGTAATAGTAACTTTAGTTCCTAAAGTTGATTACTATTAGTTGTAATAGTAATCATAGTTTTGGAACATATATTTTCACTCGTATATAAATATAATATAAAAGTAAAGTTTATACACATAAATGAATTAAGTAATATTGGTTTTTTTAAAGCATTCTCGTGTAGAGATGTAAGATATGCTGCCTGCAACGCAATATGGCAAATATCGACAACTTTTTGGCCCACATTTGAGGAGAAATTTCACGATAGAGTTATCTTTGGATTATTGATGGTATTGGACGACATGAATCTCAGAGTTCAAGTTCACGCTAACGCCGCTTTTCTAAACTTCAGCGAAAATTGCCCGAAAAATATTCTAATATCATATCTCGATGCCATAACGGCTAAACTTAAATCAATTCTAATCGCTAAATTCTATGATTTAAATGAACAGGGAACTAATTGTAAGCACGTATGTACTTGAACGGATAAGTCCGTCGCTTTTCCACAGAGTCATGCAATATATTTCTGAGTTGTAATTTTAATAATTTTAAAACCTAAATAAATGTTTTCGAAGAATTAGGACTAATATAAATCTAAATTTTGGATTGCGTTTTTTACAGGTTGTCACAACAATTGCCTCCATTGCTGACACATGTAAGGAACAATTTATAACTTACTACGATAGGCTAATGCCTTGCTTAAAATATTTTATTCAAAATGCTCATCAGCAAGAACACAAAATATTGCGATACAAGTTTATCGAATGTGTCAGTCTTATAGGCTTAGCTGTTGGACCAGAAAAGGTGATTAAATTAACTGATTCCTCATTTGGTATGTCTTAAACAAAAAGCTTATAATTATTAATTATATTATTCAACATTGACAGTTTATTGCTGGTGCTAGCCAAGTTATAGGAATGTTACACAAAATATTCAGAAGGTGATTTTATTGACGATGTGCAGACTAAGTATCCTTTATCGGCTAATTGGGGCAGGATCTTTCAAATTCTTGGTAAGATATTAATAATGAAGATTTTACGTGCCTTCTGTCAAATTCTCTCAGCACATTACAAAAACTTTTCTGGGAAATGGGTGAGTGGGGGGTAATATTTTCTACGGTTGGATTTTATGACAATTTATGTCTTACTACCCTTATTCGTACTCTGGCACAATATAGGAACTTTGTATGATTACGCAATTTATCAAAAGCATGTGTGTTTTTTTACAGAAGAACAATATTTACTATTCGTAATGGAACCGGTATTGCAAATAGCCGCTAAACTCGAAATTGCAGCATTGCTGCAGAAGGATGTGGAATGTATTAAAGATGATCGTGACTGGAAGTTTATTCTATTAGAGAATCAAAAAAAATTTGAAATCAAAACTATTGGTCTGGAGAATAAGGTTTCTGCATGCGAAATGTTGGTTTGTTACGCGCAAGAATTAAAGGAAGGTTTTGCGAATTATGCAGAAGCAGTGCGACTAATAATGGTGCCGATGTTAAAATTTTACTTCCACGACGGTGGTGTTAGAACTGCAGCTGCGGCAAGTTTGCCGTATCTTCTTGAATGTGTTAAAATAAATGGTTATTAGATATTTTTATTAAAGGAATTGTGTAACTTTTTTTATTGTAAAATTGTCTTATAATTGATACTTGTATTATAATGTTTACAGAGCCAGAATTACTGCAAGACATGTGGGAATACGTTTGTTCAAATCTATTGCAAGCTATCAATAAAGAAACAAAATCCGATATGTTATTGAAATTAACGCATTGTCTTTAGCAAAATGTGTTGAGATTCTGGGCACAAATTGCTTAAGTGCGCCACATATTATTTATAGGTTTTTACAGATTAACACTTTTAGAGATTAACTATATAAGCAACTACGTTCCACACGTAAGGAGTTAGATTGAAAGAGATGAGTTTTAAAACAAATAATAAAGGGGAAAGAAAATTTGGCCGAGAGATGTTGGTTGCTCAATAATATTTTTAATGTTTTTTAAATCTTTTTGTTTTATTTCAGTGATCGAAAAATAGGTAAGACATCCGCCACGGATAGGATATTGGAGGTTTCGAATTTTGACTGAAGTAATATTTTTTGCAATGAATTTTTTACCTTTTACTTTTGGATGATTTCGATGCTTGCGCCATCGAAGCGATATTATAATATGACATTTCATCTTTAAGCGTTATAATTCCGTTATTAAACCCTGACAGTAATCGCTGCACTAATATTAACTGAAATTTAAAGGAAAAGATTTAAAACTCACTAAAAATATTATTGAGCAACCAAAATAATTAGGTTCCTCCAAATTTGGCTCTTTTTCTCTTAATATTTAATTGTTGTATACATATTAGTCTTATTTGAAATTATTAAATATTAAAAGTTGTTTACTAAATTCTAAAGTCTTGTTTTGTCCTTATTTTTACCTAAAGCCCTATAAAGATCTAAATTCTAAAGACCTTCACGATGCAAGAAATCGATTCGAGAAGTTTGACAAAGAGAGAATTGATCAATTCACATTGGAACTTTTCTGTCAGTTGACCAATTAAGGCTTAAAAGTAGAAGTTACTAATATACGTTCAAAGAAACATATAATTAATAAACCTCACGAATCCACACGAAGAGCATTTCATTTTTACTTCTTGGAGGAAAATCGCGAACAATTTTTCTTTTTTTTTTGCATCTTCGTGTATTTTTACTTTATTAATTTTAAAGTAATTTAAAATATATTCTTCTTAAAGTGATTTACCTACACTCTTTCAGAGGACGTCACTTCAAATCTCGCGAATGTTGTGAAATTTTAAAAGTTAATATATTCCAAAACACCGACAAGATACTGTAATTAAAGACCGTCAGCCCTGGAACAAATATTCGTGCCAGCCAAAGGGCCCGGCGTGCCCGAAGGTAGTTGCAGAGTGTCGATGTTATCGACTTTTGACATAAATTTGCGATTTATTTCAATAATACATTATTAAAATCATGATTTTTATTATATAAATGCTTTAAATAAATAAGTATGAATACTTATAATGCTATTATTACTAATTGCCTAAATTTTAGCAATTACTAAACATGCCACGCTAACACCCGTAAGGGTGTCGGTCTTTAATAGTATCTCGTCGGTGTTCCAGTTTAGGATCGCCTTAAATTCTAAAAACTCAAATTTTCAAAATCATTGGACTCTCGGTATTCATTTGTTAAACAGACCTCGGTGGGATGCTGGGATTCCGTTTTCAAGCAACGAACGTGGTCGGCGATGTTGGCCATGATTGGTGATTAGAGTCCTAGTGATTATCCAGGACTCTTATGTTGGCCACGGTGTGAAGAGGGGCAAGAACTTCTTACCACGATGTTGGCAACGCCACGGGCAGACAGTGACATTCCGCCGCGCGACGTTGGCCAACACTCAATGACGGTCGAGTGTGTGCTCGGGCAAGTGTGCGGCGCTTGGCTTTCATTCGGTAACGATGGCGGATCTAGACCAGTTTCAACAGCTTCTGAATACACTCCTCAGCACAGATAACGATGTCCGGACGCAGGCGGAGGTACGTGTAGATCGGTGAATTTTCGCGGCCGCGCTCGACGAGCGTCGGAACGCGGCGCCGCGCCGGTCGGCCCCGCGGCGCGGTCGCGGTATGTTCCTGCCGACCACGTTGCCGACGACGTGTTGTCAAGAGCGTGCTCCGCACGCGGGTGCCGCGGCCGGCGTGCCGGGCGCGCGACGACGCCGCCCGCCGATCGGAGGCGCCGTCGCGCCGACCGGCACGCGACGGGTCGGCCGAGAGGGATCGCGCGGCGACCGGGGCGTAGAATCTCGGGCTTACTCGCGCGATCGGACCGAGAGAGATCCAAAATGGTGCCTCGCATGCGGGTAGCGCGCGCTCGCTCGCTCGCTCGCTCGCTCCGCGTGCCAACCGTCATCGGCTCCGCGTGTCGTATACGGTCGTGTACGGAAGTCCGGCCGGTCTCGCGACGCTCGCCGCCGCGCGGGGCTCGGCCACGCCGGGGAGCGGCTCCGGGGTGAGGCTCGCGCGAACGACGTCCGCCCATCCCCGCGCGACGCAACGCGCGGCTCGCACGTTGTGCACGACGTGCATCCCGTTTTCCCGCCTACAGGCGATTTCCGGCGACCGTCCGTCGTGGCGTGCACCGCGTGCGCGTCGTTCCTTACGCGCCTCGGCGACCCGCCCGATCGACAAGTATCTGCTTGCACGATCTTGATGCCGCTCGGCGCGATCTACATATATATACATATATATATATACATGTTTTACCTTGACTCACGGCACGATCACGTGTCGAGCGTAATTCGTCGAATATTTATACGTGCGCAGATTACAATATGCACTTGGCACAAAATGGGTCGGATTTAGCTTTGTAAATTTAGCTCGGGGGAAAGAACTTTGATTTTAGCGCATCTATGAATATATTTGTAGATATATTCATTGCACGTATATATATTTGCGCTTTGTACATAGCATATAATAGGACAAAGTTTTTGTTTTCTGATGCGACATCTTTGTATTCTATAATTTCTATCATTGATATTGTTAGATGATATTTCTACTATTTTTATTATTGATATTGTTAAATGATTTTGTTTCTTTTCCATTTTTGTAAAATTTGATTTTATACAAAATTGCATAATTATTTTTTTGTTTGAAGAATTAGGAATAAATGCTTTTTAGATAAAAATATAAATTTCTAATAAATTTCTAATAAAAATTTTTAATATTTATAACAACTTTCAAAGGAATTTTGTATTATTTGATAAGAAATCATGTTACGTTTATTGCTGCATGAAATCTTATAGAAACGTAATGATAGTTCTAGATCTAAATATTGATGATATATTTTAATGTCTGAAATTATTTTAGGAGGCGTACGGTAATCTTCCAGTGGAAAGCAAGGTGACGTTTCTCTTAACCACCATTTGTAATGGCACACTTGCAGAAGAAATGCGGACCATAGCCGCAGTACTGTTGCGTCGATTATTTTCCTCAGAATTTATGGAGTTTTATCCCAAGGTAATATAAAGCTTCCTTCTTCTCCTTGTCTCTAGTTACTATATGTAAAATGTCTCCGTTAAAATGTAAATTTTTCTCAATTCGTTGCCATTTGATTTCTTAAAAACTTTTCTATCAAGAAATTAAAGATTATCTATGAATCAAAGGTCAGTTAAAAATAAATTTGATATGCAATTGCTCCACAGATTCCACCCGAGGCGCAGGCACAGTTAAAAGAGCAAATTTTATTATCGGTCCAAAACGAACAAACCGAAGCTATTCGACGTAAAGTCTGTGACGTTGCGGCCGAAGTTGCCAGAAATTTAATAGACGAGGATGGCAATAATCAGTGGCCGGAGTTTCTTCAGTTCCTATTTCAATGCGCGAATAGTCCATCGTCAGCATTAAAAGAAAGCGCACTTCGCATGTTCACGTGAGTTTCCTTCAAGTCTATCCTTTATGAATGATGTTTTTATTAAGAAAATATGTAAGTAAAGGAAATTAAATGTGCATGCAGATCCGTCCCAGGCGTATTTGGAAATCAACAAGCAAATCATCTCGATCTTATAAAACAGATGTTACAACAATCTGTGTTAGATACAAATTATGAGGTAATATATTAAACTTGCATACATTTTTATTTAATTTAACGGGAGAGAGATACACGAGTCTCGACAAGATAAGATTACTCGTCACGTAATTCTTCCAAAAAAAAAGGTGCCTTCTGATGACTGTAACTTGTGAAGTACTAATTTACAGACAGATACGGGGCATACATTTTATAAGGGACGGTTATATTTGCGTTGACATCCTAAACAAAACTTATTTATCAACTTTTTATTATAAAAATAGCTATAATAGTTGCAAAATTGTTCTCTTACCGTACAGGTCAGATTTCAAGCGGTACGAGCAATTGGAGCGTTTATAACATTGCATGACAAAGAGGAAAATATACACAAACATTTCTCAGAATTAGTCCCGGCGCTTGTACAAGTAACCGCTCAATCTATAGAAAAGCAGGACGATGATGCTCTTATAAAAGTTTTGATAGACCTTGCTGAAACCACGCCAAAATTCCTCAGGGGACAATTAATTAATGTTTTGCAAATGTCTATGAACGTATACTCCAATGAGGAGATGCCTGACTCTTGGAGGCAATTGGCGCTAGAGGTTTTTGTAACTCTGTCGGAAACCGCACCAGCCATGGTGCGGAAAGTTGGTGAAAAGTACATTGTGGCTTTGGTGCCATTGGTATTGAAAATGATGACTGACTTGGAGGAAGATGAGAAATGGAGCTACTCTGATGAGATCATTGAAGAGGATAATGACAGCAACAATGTAGTTGCGGAAAGTGCTTTAGATAGATTGGCGTGTGGCCTGGGAGGAAAAACTATGCTACCGCAAATCGTACAAAATATCCCTACTATGTTAAATAACAGCGATTGGAAATATAGGTAAAATTGATAACATCTTCATATCTCATACATATTTGGTTATAAATTCACGACTGTGTCGATGTTTAAGGATGTTCTGGCTATACAGTCCCAAAAGTTACTGAAATATGAAATTGATATTCTATGCTTTTATAGGTTAAGATACGCACCATGTACTTGTATTGTGTAAAGGACTTAAATAATGCCAATTAATATATCTGGCATTACAAAAGAATATATTTGTATATTTTACAAGTTTTGTGATTGCTGGCAAAAAACTTTTGGACGTAAAATTCAAGTCTAAAAGTTTTTTGCCGACAATCATAAAACTTGTAAAATATACAAATATATTTATTTGTAGTGCCAAATTTCATATTAACTGGCATTATTTAAGTCCTTTACGATACGAGTACGATATGATGCGTATCTTAACCTATAAAAGCATAGGATATCATCAATTTCAGTAACTTTTGTCTAGGACTGTATAGCCAAACATCCTTAATATTTGGGTATGCATAAGTGTCACAGAAAAGTCAGCAGTTATATACTTTTATGTAATTGCGTTACGTCTGTGATAGAATAATCAATGAGATAATTCTCTTCTCCAGCTGCCGTTTTGGCAATTGGTCTGAGATTCTCATTGCGATGTTTAAAATTAGAAATGGCAGTTGTCTGATATAACTGCTATAATTATATAAACATACATTTTTTTCACTATTTATTAAATAATTCAAGTTTTATATTTTTTACTTACTATGTGTATAAATAAAAATATTTTTTTTTTATTTATAGGCATGCAGCGTTGATGGCTATTTCAGCTGTTGGTGAAGGTTGTCACAAGCAAATGGAGACTCTTTTACCACAAATAATGGACGGAGTCATACAATATTTACAAGATCCGGTAAATACAATGACAAATTTTGCTTTATACTCTTTTTACCTAATTTTAGCTGTCAAATCATTTTTTTTACGCCAAATTATGTGTATATAATATACTAAGATAGGCCACAAATTAATCCGACAGTCATATTCATGTGAATATGGCAGTGTTACATTTGTGGTAAATTAAGCAAGTGAACAAATTCTTGCTATATTACTGTTTTAGTAATGCAGATAATCAAGAGTTGTTTCTTGCAGTTCCTGAGAGTTGATTACTATTAGCTGTAATAGTAATCATAGTTTTGGAACATATATTTTCACTCGTTCTTCCAAACCCTTTACATTGTGTCAACAGCGTGGTGACCTCTCATCGTATATCTGTGGCGTGTGCTATTTACAATTTATACAGATATACGAGACCTACAATTTCAACACCGGTTGCGAACCGCCTAATTTAGAGGGGTTTTCATGGTAAGATATACTCGGTGGATTGTCGCTGCCTTCCAAAAGGTAGCGGCAATCCACCGAGAGTATATCTTACTATGAAAACCCCTCTAAATTAGACCGTTCGCAACTGGTGTTAAAACTGTAGGTGTCGTATATCTGTGTAAATTGTAAATAGCGCACGCCAATTAAAGCGATTAAAAATTCATTGTTTCTAGTCGGATTTAACTCGGGTCTTTGGCACCGAAAGCATAACTTTCTGTGCTACATTTTCTCGTATATAAATATAATATAAATAAAGTTTACAAATAAATGAATTAAATATGTTGATTTTTTTAGCATCCTCGTGTAAGATACGCTGCCTGCAACGCAGTAGGGCAAATGTCTACAGATTTTTCGCCAACATTTGAAAAGAAATTTCACGATAAAGTTATCCCTGGATTATTGATGGTATTGGACGATAACGCGAATCCCAGAGTTCAAGCTCACGCTGGCGCCGCGCTTGTAAACTTCAGCGAAGATTGCCCGAAAAATATTCTAACACCATATCTCGATGCCATAATGGCTAAACTTGAATCTATTCTGACCGCTAAATTCCATGAGTTAGTTGAAAAGGGAACTAAGCTCGTTCTTGAACAGGTAAGTCTATTGCGTTTACACAGAGCGACATCTCCGAGTTATAAATAATCTTAAAATCTAAATAAATGTTTTCGAAAAGTTAGAACTTAATGTAAGTCTAAATTTTGGGTTGCGTTTTTTTTTTACAGGTTGTTACCACAATTGCCTCCGTTGCAGACACATGTGAGGAACAATTTGTAACTTATTATGATAGGCTAATGCCTTGCTTAAAATATATTATTCAAAATGCCAATCAGCAAGAACACAAGATATTGCGAGGCAAAACTATCGAATGTGTCAGTCTCATAGGCTTAGCTGTTGGACCAGAAAAGGTGATTAAATTAACTGATTCCTCATTTGCTCATGTCTTAAATGAAAAGCTCATAATAATATTAATTATATTATTCAACGTTGACAGTTTATTGCCGATGCTAGTGAAGTTATGGATATGTTACTCAAAACCCATTCAGAAGGTGATCTTCCTGATGACGATCCGCAGACCAGCTATCTTATATCTGCTTGGGCCAGGATTTGCAAAATTCTTGGTAAGATATTAATAAATGAAAATTTTACGTGCCTTCTGTCAAATTCTATCAATTACAGAAATTTTTTGGGGAGAGGATAAAGTTTTTTATGGTTGGATTTTATGACAGTTTATGTCTTTTTCTACTCTTATGCGTACTCTGGCACAATACAGGAACTCTGTATGATTACGCAATTTATTAAAAGCATGTGTTTTTTTTTTACAGGCAAACAATTTGAACAGTACTTACCATTAGTAATGGGACCCGTATTGCGAACAGCCGCTATGAAACCTGAAGTTGCATTGCTAGATAATGAGGATATGGAAGGTATTGAAGGTGATCTTGACTGGCAGTTCGTTTCACTGGGAGAGCAACAAAACTTTGGAATCAAAACTGCTGGGCTGGAGGATAAGGCTTCTGCATGCGAAATGTTGGTTTGCTATGCGCGAGAATTAAAGGAAGGTTTTGCGGATTATGCAGAAGAAGTAGTGCGACTGATGGTGCCGATGCTGAAATTTTACTTCCACGATGGTGTCAGAACTGCAGCTGCGGCAAGTTTGCCATATCTTCTTGACTGTGCTAAAATAAAAGGTTATTAGATATTTTTATCAAGGGGACCCTATGACTTTTATTGCAAAACTGTCTTATATTAATACGTGCATTAATGTTTACAGGTCCACAGTATCTGGAAGGCATGTGGGCATACATTTGCCCAGATCTGTTGAAAGCTATCGATACAGAACCAGAATCCGAAGTGTTGTTAGAATTATTATCATCATTAGCAAAATGTATCGAGACTCTGGGCGCAGGTTGCTTAAGTGCGCCGCATATGACTGAGCTTTTACGACTTTTAGATAAGCTACTTAATGAACATTTTGACCGAGCAGTTGCTAGATTGGAGAAACGAAAAGATGAAGACTATGATGAGGTATTATATACAAAGATTGTCTATGAAATCTGATAGAGAAATGTTATAAATTTCTGTGTACTGAACTTTTTTTTTATTATTTATTGGATCAGGTCGTCGAAGAACAACTTGCTGATGAAGACAATGAGGACGTATATACCCTTAGCAAAATCGCTGACATTTTACATGCCCTGTTTACAACCTACAAGTCTTCGTTCTTCCCGTACTTCGATCAAATATGCGGACATTTTGTAAAATTACTGAGCCCCGAAAGATCATGGTCGGATCATCAGTGGGCTTTGTGCGTCTTTGACGATGTCATCGAATTTGGAGGACCTGACTGCGCAAAATATCAAGAATTCTTTTTGCGACCCATGATTCAATACGTTTCCGATAAATCCGCGGAGGTTAGACAAGCGGCAGCTTACGGTTGTGGGGTGTTAGGCCAATTCGGCGGAGAGGGCTTTGCGCAAGCGTGTGCAGAAGCTTTACCAAAGCTGATGGAAGTTATTAACGATCCCGAATCTAGATCGCCAGAAAATGTGAACCCCACTGAAAATGCTATTTCAGCAGTGACTAAAATTCTCAAATACAATAGCAAGGCAATCAACGTCGATGAAATTCTTCCACACTGGTAAATCTTGATATTTTAAGAAATTGTTATTTATAAATACATTAAGCTGGTTCTACATTAGTTGCATCGCGGCGTTGCAAACGTCGCGATCCAGTTGAAATCCAACGTTAAGCTAGCTCGACGTTGATTGGATTACAACTGGATCACAACTTTTGCGACGATGCGATGAAACTAATGTAGAACCAGCTTTACAAACACAAACTTTATTCTGAGTCTTCTATCTGTGCAGGCTAACTTGGCTGCCGGTCGTCGAGGATGAAGATGAAGCACCTCACGTGTATGGATACCTGTGTGATTTGATCGAAGCGAATCACGTGGTGGTTTTAGGAACGAATAACGCGCATTTGCCTCGACTTATAAGTTTCTTTGCCGAAGCATTGTTCAGAGAAGCTGTGCCTACCGATCATCCCGTTATGTCTAGAATCCTTAGTATTGTTAGAGAAATACAGGTATAGGCACTCAAAGCGTTGCTTATGTTTCTTGATTTTCGTTGCAATTCTGGATAATAAGTAACAAGTTATTCTGTTTCTTTCCAGAACAACGACACGATTTTCCAGGCAACCATAATGCAGTTAACAACGGATCAACAACAGGCGCTTCACGAGGCACTCAGTGCACTAAGTTGAATTTTTAACATCGTAACAAATACAAAAAAAAGATAAACGCCTGCATTAATTAATGCCGAGGAAACGGCAAAGATTTTAGGTATGGGCGTATACCTATAAGATTCGCTCCAGTTATAAAGCCTAGTTATACACAACACGCAAATATATTTAAGCTATTCTACGTATTACCCACGTATTTGTTGAGTATATATCTCTGTATCATTATCAGATTCGATTATTAATTTTATATTGTCAGGGATTGTTGTTGAACATATGATATTAAAATTGGAGTTTGTCACTGTTCGGTTTTACAGTGCGTCTACAAATGAAGATAAGTCGAAAGAAATTTTATCAGTTGTGAATGAACTCGCATTGGCAGAATTTAAAAGAAAAAAAAACTGTTTATATATTTCTAACGTATTTTAAACTCAATATTTTATATATATATACTTGTTATACATCCCCCCCCCTCTTTCTTTCTACATTACATTAGTGAACATTGTTAAAAGGTTCACGAACATTGACGTCGACTTAAATCAGACATTCAAGTGATAACACATTCTCCTGCCACTGAGAGCCGAACAATGCTAAATTGTCTTGAAAAAATTGGCTTTGTAAAAAATCGCATAGTATCACATACATTATATTATATTATAGCTTTGTTATGCGAATATAGCGTGAAAGATTTTGTCACTGTGATCTTTCTAAATTCTGTCTACATTCTCAAAGATTCTATGTCTCCCACGTTCAGGCGAAAAAAAAATGACGAAGCTGATAATGCAAGATAGACTGGAATGCCTCATTGTAGCCATGAAGTGAACACGTGACATTGTGATTTAGGTATTTTTATTATTAAATTTAGATACAGTAAATGTTATTTAATGATAATATCGATAATGTTGCAATGTTGAGGTATACGAATGCCTTTTGAATGAAACGTAATGAAGTTTTAAAAATTTTAGATTCAAGATCCATAAGATGTGACCTATTTTTTTTTTCTTTTTCTTGTAGAGATACACTAAGAACATATTTGAACGCCACAAATTTTAAGTGTAATCTTACAGCTAATTCGTATTGAGTTACGCTTCACTTAGCTGTAACATTACAACATGTCGTATACTAAAAATATATTGTTCGAGAATTAAAAAAAAGTATATAAGAAATACGCGCCAAAAGAAGCGATTTGGCAATACAGAATGCATTACGTTTCTTTCGACTGATTCTAACAGAGAATTGAGATGCGAAGAAGTCCGAGCGAAATAATTCGAACAGCTCCCCCGCTTTCCCGTTCTTGTTGCTATTTATTTATAAAATGTGTATCCCGACACTTGCGACACTGTAAATCGAAATTTCACCGATGGGAAAATTTTATCTCTAGTACACCTTCGCGGCTACTCCTAACGCAAATGCCTCCCCCAAGTAACAACCTTTTTTTTTACTAAGACCTATAGAGGAGTAAAAGTAAAGAACTATAAACGTTTATTTGTACATACGTCAAAAGTATAGGAAAATATCGCGGACAAGTATAATAGAGTTGAAGTATTCGATTGTAAGTATCCTTGGTAGGCACTGCCTCGTTATCTCACTGAAAAATCAACAACACATTCTTGTAAGGTGCACTTAATTGCAGCAAATACATACGGAGAATCAATACCGATGGACTGTTTATGCGATACACATTTGCGACGGAGAAAGAGGAAAAATCAATTCACTCTTAGATTTAAAAGAGTGAGAGAAATGAAAAATTATAATTCTTATATAGAGATTATTTTAAAATCATTAGCCAAAATAAATCTCAGCTTTGTAATCGTTTGTTTTGCTTCACCTACATTCGTATATTTTTAATGAATCTAATATAATCTGGTATACACATATTTTTGCGAGCTTTATTACATTAAATAGATTGAAATTACGATGTATCAATATACATCGTAATTTCAATTTTTTGCAAAAGTTACTATATCGTTTTAAATTAATTATAAGTTAATTTAAGTTAATTAACTCGTCTAACATTTATCTTGTACAGCAATTATCTTTGAGTAAAAATTATGAGGCTGGATAATTTATCCTGTAGATATGTTTTTACGATATGTATACAAAAAGGTGGATAACAGCCCAAAAAAATACGTATTAATTATCGGCATGCAACTTAAGCGCACAGCTGATATTGAAATAGTTAAGAATTAATATCGTGCATATCACCCGTATCGATTTACTAAGTATCGGCATTATCGATCGTTGCGATGCGATAAAATTTTTTTTTGTAGATATACCTACCCGACAACAAGTGCGGCGCATGACGATTTTTCGAAAGTAATAACACTGCAGGTGAGGGTAATAATGCCTACGACGCATGTCGCAATATATCGGAAGTTATTTATAGTATTTGCGTTGTTTTGCTGTTTCATTTTATGAGTAATTCATACTCCAAATATATTGGAAAGGTGACGGGTCAATGTAAACGAGTCGGACCAGTGCAGTCCGTCTGAAATCCGAGCATTTTATATGGACGATTAATATATCTCTATAATTATAGCTAGCGAAAACAATTGGAAGAGATCGTTAATCAAAGTCCAGTGGATAAATTAAATTTCGAGTGCACATTTTTATCTCAAGAGTTCTTTTTTTTTTTTTAAAGAGAACTCGAAAATTTATCGACAGATTGATATATGCCTGTTTCTTCATTCAAATGTGCGTGAAATTCAATTTGCAATACGTTATGCATTAAATTTTGCGACACATGCAAATAATCTGCAGCAAAACAAAAACGCACATACAACAACGTGTTTTAAAGTAACGGAGGAAACCTGATTTGAGAGTGTAATTTGTACAACGGTACCTTGCATTTCGCGCTAAACCTGCTCTCTCTTAAATATTTCCCATGTTCGTATAATATTGTTTTTATACGTTTTTTTTTTATTATTAAATTTTTCTCGAATTAAAAGAGAGATATATAACAAAAAGCTTATAATGGTCAACATTCTGATACGAAAAAATCTCATTTCCATCCACAGTCGTTTATTTTTTATTTGGACATAAAAGTTTATTCTTCGTAGAGGTAGCTGAATATAGCTTCTATACCTTTCGTTTCTCTCTCTCTCTTTCTCTCTCATGTTCACAGACATTATATGTGCATATATAATTATTTTAATTGCTGACAATTGCTACAATTATATTATGCATACACATGCAAAATATACATGTCAAAAATATGATTTTGTATATATAAAATCGTATTTATTTCGTTGTCAAAACATATAAATAAAAGTAGATATTTTAATTATAAATAATATTTATATATATCATATTTAAAATAACTGATTATATATAATCATATTTATTTTATAAAACATTACGTATAAATATATATCGTTATATATATATTTTTTCCATTTGATTACATAAACCGCGAAGATCCCATTTCGGAGATGATATATTTTTATACTCGTTCGTTGTCGCCGAGCGATCGCCAGCTGCTGCACGAAAGACAATGGAAAAATTTCTTTCGAGAATGCATTACGTCTGCTTTTTTTTCCCTCCGCCTTTTTGCGGGGCCGTACATATTCCACGTATCCGACTCCGTCCGCGTACCAACAGACATACGTGTGGCTGTACACGCCGGCATGCGGAACGACCGGCGCGCACACATGACGCCGGCGATCATCCGATATTACGTCATCGCCCTCTCGCCCTGGTCGGCGGCGCGCGCGGCGGATCGCCCGCTCCGCTCTATCGCCGCGTTCCGCGTCGCTCGCGCGGATCCGTCCGCTCGTCGTCGTCATACGTGGTGTGTGCGCGACGCGATAAAGCGGACGCGCGACGCAGTGCGCGGCCGAGGAGATCTATCGTGATTCGTGCGTGTGTGGAGGAGTCGCGCGTGTCCGGTCGGGCCTGCCGATTGGCATCGGAATCGACGCGCGCGTGATAAGCGTGCCTCTGATAATCGCGCGAGAGATCGCGAAAAATCCCTCCCGGCGAGCGCGGAGCTTGGGTGCGGAGTCGGGATTGTCGCGAGGCGCGTCGACGCTCCCCCCCTTCTGCCTGTCGCTGGGGCACGTCGCGTCGCGACGCGAATTTCGAAGAACCGCCGAAAGACACGCTGTTACAAATAATAACATATATATACACGGTAAGGCATTATTCGCAGCGCGACACCTGCGTTATTTCCAGGATCTATCGGGTGACATATATCGCGATATTACGCAAACGAATCGTACGGATGGGATTCCCACGTTCCGCATACATGCCGTCACACGGCGCGTCTGGGGCGTCTGGGTGCGTCGTACTTCTGAGGGTTATGTGGATGTCATGATCGATGCCAGAGGCGATGAGACAGTAGCTCCAAGAATGCAATTCTTTCGCGACTCTTGGAGCGAATTATATTATACGTTACGTGCAGCTGACGCCGACAGTTATGTTCTCGGCAGCTGCGCTATATGTTATACTTTCGGCATTTAAATAAATTAAATTAAAATTTAATTTCATCCAACCCTATACATATAATCTATAAATTCCTGAAATTTGATTAATATAATGCACGATATATTTCTTGGCTGCGAGAGAAAGTGAAATAATTATAAGCAATATACAGTTATAGATATTGGAATATGGAAAGAGAAGACCGAAACGTCAGCTGCGGGGATAATAAACGTTACAACCACGTGGATGCCGTTGGAGCGTCGCGTGCGTCGTTGCGACGTTGCTCGGGAAAGAATCGGCTTCCTCGCTCGACGATTCGCGTGTAACGGGAACATCCGCGCGATATACATTTAATTAAGCGCGCGAGCTGACTCGACCGGATGGATGCCGAGCGGGGGACGGCACGGCCGCGTGCGTTCGTAACGGTATACGGCGTCGTCGTAAACTCGAGGAAAATTGTTGAGAGAGCGGAAAGGAGGATCGGAATCGCGACGACGACGACGGAAACGCGGCCGGCATGATTGCGGAGCGAACATGCGCGGCACGTAATGCGCGCAAAGCGAGCAAATCACGCGCTGCACCAGGAGGAGCTTCGTAATACGTGGCGAACTTTTGAAAAGTATAACGCGCTCGGGGCTTCGTGTTTTTCCGCCGGCCGAACGAGACCGTGGTTGACTACATGAATTAATTCTATATACGTGAAAACGATTGGTCGAATCCCGCTCCCCTTTCAGAAAATTCTTTCTAAACCTCTCACGTGCGTCGCGACGATTCCCAAACAAATATCGATCCAGAGAGTACGTGACACGAATTCTTCCTCTCAAAGCTCTTCTGCGCTAGCTTGTGTGTGTATACGTATTTTTATTTCTTCGCAGCCAAGAAATATATCGCGTGCATTATATATTAATCAAATTTCAGGGGATTGTAGATTAGGGTTGGATGAAATTAAATTTTAATTTTATTTATTTTTAAAGTTGTAATCCTAATGTATACTCGTAACTCTCGCGATGATAGGATGAAAGAACGGGATTTTATTGCGGCACGAGTCCGTTTTATCGGCCGGCATTCCTATCTCTGGAAGCTATATATCATAGTAACACCCACACACGAAGCTGTTACTGCCGGACTTGTATATATATACGCTCATAATTGAACGAATAGCAAATTGCGAGTCGCGCATAGTCTAAGCGCCAGCTCAATATAGACCGTAGCTGTGCTATGTACTTTCTTACAGTCAACACGCAGTTTTTCTGGATTGGCTGTGCTACTGTCACAACAGAAATCCGTCTCAAAAGGGATCAAGTATAGCTGCTCCGTTTTGTCAATTAAATCTGCCAAACGTGTAAGATAGCCAACGCTCGTTTACGAAATCTACCAATCGTCCGGCGCGACGACGCAACGCCGTTCCTCGTTGAAACGCACGATTGGTCGGCTTTATTTTTTTTTTTTTTCATGCACACGAGTTTCGCGAGTACAACAAATCCGTCGTCGTGTGCAACTGCTCCGGATGTTACGGACAGTCTCGTCGAGCCTGTGCGTAAAAGCCGGGGTGTCCGCGGGACTGCGGCACTCTTTCCGCCCGAAACAGAGACGGCCGTACGGCCGTGCGACGGGGGCGGGAGTAGGAGGGAAGATGAGTAAGTGCACGCGGGGCGCAGCCGCGGGGAACAGACCTATCGCGACTCGCGACGACGGGCGTCTGCTGGGTCAGCTGTCGAGGCGACTCGCCAGTGTGTCGCGACGCGAACACGTTGCACAGTTCCGTGTTCGCAAGCCGAGCGTCGAGGTGGTGTCGTGGATCCCGTGTCACGTTCGATCTCGGATTGATTTTCGAGCTCTCGAGTCTCAAAAATTCCGGTTAACCGGCCGTACCGAGGAGAAGCGGAGCGGAGGGAGAAGCCCCTCGTGGAGAACGCGAGACTCTCCCACGCGACCTTTCCTCCCGATTTCGGCCGATTTTTCGCGCGAAACGAGATCGAATCGGATAGCCGTCGACGTGTAATCGGTGTAATGTAAGTGCCGACGAGGAGGAGAGTACGAGCGACACCCTTCCCTCCCCTCCCCTCCCGCCCTCGACGATCGCGTTGCTCGGTTGTTCGCGAGTGGCTTTTCGCTCGAGTCGCGAGTCTGCCTTAATTTTTATTTCTTCTTTGTATAACCCTTTGGATTTCGGTTCCTTAGGACTCAAGTGCCACGGTTTCGTGCCTTTTTTTTTTTTATTCAATTGAAGGGGTCGCGGGGGCGCCGGGCGTGCGTGGCACGCGGCTCGCATCGCGTAGGCGCGCCACCGCGTCCGTCCGCGCCCGCCGTGCGTGACGTCGACCGGTAGATCGCGGATTCCGATTCCCCGTCACCGACCGTCGGTGCTCGTCGTCCGCCGCCCGCCGACGCCGCGAGGATGCCGGACGCGGATAGCGCGCCCGCTCTATCTGTCGCGCCCGACAAATGTAAATTGCCGCTGCAATTTGTTTGTTTTTTTCCGTTTTCTCAAACCGGAGCCGTCAATTTTGATATCGCTTCCACGCACACGACGGACCTTCCGCCGCCGCCGCCGCCGCCGCTTCCGCTCATGCGAAACCGACGCGATCGCTCGATCGAAACGCTTATTTTCTTGCGTAACGTGTAGCCGAATAGCCCCCGACGAGACGCTTTATAAGGCAAATCCCGCCCGTCGCGGGGATATCCTGATCTCCGTGCGGATCCGAGACGCGAGACTACTCTCTGTACTCGTTTGCTTGCAGTTGCAACCCGAGGCTGCATGGCAACGCCGTTGAAAACGTAAGAAGATGTCCAGGAAGCGCACCAGGGAAGAAACTATGCTGGCTACTGTGTCCCATCAGAACAGCGTCAATGGCGAGAGCGCGTCCTGCTCCAGGGAAAATTCTCCCGTTCATGCCGTAAGTGTCGTGCCCGCAGCAGCTGATGAAATCCAGTCTCGGTGCGAGCGAATAGACGAAAAGGTCGGCGCTAATCGGTTTCGACCGGAATGGAAATGTACCACGTTGCGTAGCGATCAGAGCCACGTCGAATCTTATGCAAAACTGACGTCTTCCACAAGAAATTTATTTTCGCTACTCGCGAATGTGACAAATGACCTTTTCGTCGAATCACATATACATCCTTGGATCTATATTTATACATCATATACATACACACACGCACATACACGTATATATTTATCTTATTTAAATATTCAGATTTTGACAAGACTGTAATGTTAGAATGTGTGACATACGACGCACATGTGTACGTTAACGTTGTATATGTTGAGTCTACTGTTATTAGATATATACTCGGGGCTAATCATTAACGTGAAAAGTGTTGTCTAGAGATAATGTGTAACATTGCTTTTTAACTGATAAATAGTCTGGCGTGATTCTAGATTGGCATATCTAATGTGATAAAAAGCTCGGAAATGCCTCATCGCCGCCACAGTCTTGCTCAGTAACTAGAAGCGAAGCCACCTTGAGGCATATTGAATTCAAGCAAACTGAGTGCAATCCGACATTTATTTACAAAGTTTATACGTACATTCTGTAGTCATATAATATCTGAAAGTGGCTAGATACAATTGTGCAGTCTTTACTTTTAAATATCGAATGTTTTTAGTCTAAAATACTGTTTACCATTTGCGAGATAGAAAAATAAATATTCTGTCTCTATTATAATACAAACAACTAAATTGTATTAAAAGAACAATGACTTGGGGCTCCAAACAGAATTGTAATGGAGATAGTGGTGCAAATTTAATGTTTCTAACGAACTATAATGAATATAATCGAGTTTCTGTATATCAGGAAAGACTGCCAGTAAGTTTCCATTCATTTTGTTTCCACGTCACATTCATGTAATAAAAAGTAAGGATATTATATAATATAATAAATTAAAGTCATAAAGATAAACACAAAATCATGGAAGCATGAAATGCTTTAAGCATAAATTCAAGAACATGATAAATTTGTTTTTTTCTTTTAACGTCACATACATATACATCATTGTTTGCCTGTTTTTACATAACACGTCAACGCGACTTAATTTATTTTAGTGAGTAACCATTTGTCATCTTGTTAATGTATTCTCTTTTCATTTATTTTAGTCAATTTGTAAAGAGGCACCCTTTAGTGATGATCCAGAGGCTATCGCAGAGAGGAACGCATGCGATTATAACACGCGAATTACTTTAAAACAAGCAAGAAGTGGCAAAGGTACGTTTTAAAGATTCTCATTAAAAATATTAAATATTTTCATTTCTGCACATATCACTTAACTTCCTTTTTTTTTTAGTTCCTAGAAAAATTAGAGTTTATGCCGATGGTATTTACGATCTCTTTCACCAAGGACACGCACGGCAACTTTTACAAGCTAAAAATATTTTCCCAAATGTATATCTTATTGTTGGAGGTAACTATGAAAAATTATCTAAAGGAAAATATTATTACTTAATACTCGCGTTAAATACTTTTTGTGATTATATAACACATTTATTACTTCGTTCTCATATTACTTAAAATATGAATGTACTTACGAGATGTCAATCACGTTAATTTTATTTTATAGTGTGTAATGATGAATTGACACATAGCAAAAAAGGAAGGACTGTAATGACAGACTTAGAAAGGTATGATGCTGTTAGGCATTGTAGATACGTTGATGAGGTTGTTCGAGATGCGCCCTGGGAACTTGATGATGAATTCCTGAAAAAGCACAAGGTACATTCATATTTACGTGCCTTAAAATTTGCAATAATAAAATGCACGTTTTTTTTATGTTTTTCATGTTAGAATCTGCATGAACCATGTTGTATTACAGATCGACTTTGTTGCTCATGACGATATACCGTACATGTACGATGATGGAGCGGACGTTTATGCTAAATTAAAAGCTAAAGGTATGTTTGTAGCCACGCAGAGGACGGAAGGTGTCTCCACGTCGGATATAGTCGCGAGGATAGTCAAAGATTATGACATGTATGTCAGGAGAAATCTCGCACGGGGGTACAGTGCGAAGGAACTTAATGTGTCTTTTCTCAATGTAAGTGACTTCCAAGTTTTACTATATAATATAATAGCCATTTGCCTAAGTGATAGTTACAATGAATATGCTCACAGAAGAAAAATCTTACAGGAGAAAAAGTTTCGCCTACAAAACAAGTTTGATGACCTAAAAGACAAGGGGAAACGAGTAATGGAAAACATCGGCGAGAAACGAATGGATATGATAAGCAAATGGGAAGAAAAATCTCGGGATTTTATCGATGCTTTTCTCTTGCTCTTCGGTAGAGAAGGCAGATTGGTATGTATGTGCGTACGCGTGTGTACGCGTACTTCCTAAATATCTTTATTTAACCATGTGTAAATCCATACAAGAGATATTTTGAAAATTTTTTTATTGTATTTGCAGTCAACAATTTGGAATGAAGGTAAAGGTCGCTTAATGCAAGCATTATCTCCACCGGCAAGTCCAAAAAGGGACGGAAGTCCAAGCAGTAGTAACAGTAGCCACAATGATGAAGACCAGACAAGGTACGAGTTTTTGAAAAAACTCTAAAACATTATTTATACATATATCTGATTGTATTTTAATTTATATTTCTTATACAGTTCAAACAATGCCAATGAAAAACTGACATTAGGGATGGAACTGTATATAAAAGTGTATATTGTAGCGTCAATAAATTAATATATAAGTAAGTGTACGTTATGATTCTTTTTGGGTTCTCTTCAGTACACATTTGATACATGTGAATAAAAAAGGTGATAGTATTTATTCATGTATCAATTTTGTACTAAAAAGAACTCAAAATAAGGGTCAAAAGTATATTTATTTACGTATTATTTATTGACAGAATAATATGTTTATACACAGTTCCATCCAGTGTCATCGGCTCCTTTACTGACATTATTTGAACTGTATGATTTATTTCGCTAGAACCTAAAAATTCTCCTAATTTATTGTTATATTTCTCATTTTACAGTCCACCACCAAAGAAAACAGGACGCTTCGAGTTTTCACAAAATAATCACTACTTAAGTGATGATTACAGTGATGATGAAGAAGAACATCTACACTCCAAATGATAACTAATTACATTAAAAATGCATATATTCTCTCTGACCAAAACAAACGTGCAATTTTATTTATTACCTTGAAAGTTTAGATGTATTTTCATACACGAACTGCTGATGATGCTATGCTTAATCGATTTTGTATGGTATTAACTAGCACTAGACATTAAACAAAATTGTCTGTTGTGATGTGAGAATTTAGTGTGTTTTTGCAGAGATTTTATTAATTAGATCGTAAAAACGATATTAGAGATGATACAGGTAGACTATCTGAGCCATGTACTATTCAATATTTTTTTGGGGTGTTATTGCTTTTAAGATATTCTTACACCGCGCTTAGTTCCTATGTTACTTAAAGCAAATGTATGCGACTCATTTTCCCTTCAATTTTGTACTGTCTCATAATGGAAAATTATGATTGACACACATCCATATTTTCATGAATAGGCACAATGTTGATTGTATTTGTATTTTATGTAAGATATTAATATGTACTATTATTTTATGCTCATAATTTTGTACAGCTTTTTATAAAATAATATTAGTTTGTTGCATAGATAATTTATTTTTTATCTTTGAACGTGCAAAATTATCAAATATCATTTACACATTATAATATCAATTATAATCTGATTTAAACGAATGCAGTTAATATTATGAATTATTAAGTTTTATTTCAATTACAGTAACTTGGTATTACGTACGTAAGTAACAAGATGTACAAAACAGATCTTTTCAGGCTCACAGAGTTACAAAGTTGTGTTGTATTTTATATTGCAAATGTAAGAAATATAAATGAATATTTGAAAAATGTTTTAATACATCACATATCATCTCGCCGATTATATTTTCCTTTTATTTCTCTTATATTCTTTTTCAAGACTTAATTTTAACAATTTAAAATTCTCGAAATTATTATTCCTTGAAAATTCCTAAATCTTTAGATAATGTAATTTTGTTACTTTATTATATATGATTTATCAATTTTCGTAAATTAAAATTTTTTCTTTAAATTTAAAATTGTAGGAAACGCAATCTATAGAATTTTTGTGAATTTAATTTGAGAAGTATATTTATAAGATAATTGATTTTGTATTCATTACTGTTATAATGATGTCAATTGTATGTGTACATCGTGTATTTTTAATGAGATAAAAATTACAGTGATTTAATTCAATATAATATTTATAATTTTATTGAACACTTTATTCATTTTTGTACCTTTTTTTCACCTCATTAAAATATAATCGATCTCTCTGGAATGCGATCGGATTTCTACCCGGTACCACCCAAATATCATTTTTTCCTTGTTTACTGAATGCAAAACATTTTTTTTTAAAGTTTTTTAAGAAGACCTTGTTGATAATTTTATCTAAATATTCTAAACAATAGTCACGAATGTCACGATGCACAAATATCTGTATGCATCGCGCACGAATTGGTGCAGTTTCACTTTGTACAATTCCCTAGATTTTCACGTCAAAGATGAAAATGTCACCATTGTTCAAACCTAAATCAGAGAAAAGCATAGGAGCGAAAGAGCAATCAATCGAGTATCGTCCCGGCTCCCGGCCTTTTCAGATCATCAGAACCAATATCTAATATAATACACTAGACTGCTTAAATTCTAATTTTTTCCTTATATATGTAAATTGTAATCTGCGCGAAGTTGGATGCACAGAATTAGAAGCGCTATTAGAAGTATTTTATCCGGGTTATTAATATCTAATATATATACATATATATATATTATGTATATATCTTTAAATACAAGATATTTTAATTAAAACAACTCAATTATCTGCAAAGATACAAAAAAATGTTTATATACACATACATAAAATTAATTATTAATAAATAAGACAGAGGTTATTGATTGTCTCTTGAGAATGTATTTACCATGGTATTTGAAATTATAACAGAAATTCTTATGTCTATGTTATAAAGAGAAATAGCGCCATAGTCAGATATAAAGAAGGATATTAAAGTGATATTATCATTCTAGTATCATTATTCTGGCATATTTGCCAAGAATGGATATGATTCAGAACAAAGAGATTTGTTATCCAGTTTATCCCCATGAGCCATCCCATGCACACCACGAAAATATTCTATGACAATTCAAATGAGGACAGCAATCATCATGCTTTGAACACTAAAATAATAAAAATGTAATATTTAGAGTTGTGTTATTCGACATTCAAAATTAATAATAATTTACGGATAATATATATTGCGGATGCATCAATACAGATGTAAAACATTTTTTTATGGTCTTGATAAGATTATATAGATTATGCACAGAACAAAACATGAATTAAAATTTTAACTCTAATATCGGTTGCTTTGTACGTCTTTATAATGCGGAAAACGACTATCTTTTAAAAAATATATTGTATAAATACTTACGCCCCCAAGCAGATAACGGCATCCTGGTTTATCCACACCCGCCATAGCATAACAAAATAGCCATAGCATAACGACAGTAATGGAAATAACAAATCTTGTCTCTCTCTTCATTTTGTCAATATTTTCTATAATTATTATTTATAATATATATTTTTATATAATTTATTTAAATAAAATTAAATAGAAGGAATAAGCTCCAAGGAATAAATCAAATTTAGTGAAATAATTGCTTCTGAGAGCCGATACAGTTGTTCGTGTGTGAAATTTTTATTGTTGCAACATCCAACCACACACGATCTGCACGCCGTATGGTTTGTCGGTCTTAAAACACAGTTCTTTTGCACGAAGCCGGAAACTTGTAACTAATTAAATTGACAAACAATTTAATATCTTTTGATACTAATATGTATCTATAAGATTTTCCTTCCCTCAATCCTCGGCCGAGAGCTGAGATGTTATTTATCGCAATAAATTTTTTTACATGTTTGGGGAGAGAGAAATCTTATAGATACATATTAGCATCGAAAGATATTAAATTTTTCAATTTAATTAGTTACAAGTTTCCGGCTTCATGAAAAAGAGCTCTGTTTCACGATCGACAAATCATGCGGCGCGCAGATCACATGTGATTGGATATTGTAACAATAAGAATTTCACACACGAACAACCGTGTCGACTCTCATAGGCAATTATTTCACTATATTTGATATAATTTATTTATTTGTTTTTTAATATAATATCTATCTATATATTCTATCTATATATTATTATATAATGTATTTATTTATTTTTTATATTTACTATATGCGCATGTAATATATCTAATATGATAATAATACTTGTATAGAAATTGTCATTTTAATTTACATGAATTTATCTTTTCAATGACGAAACTTAAATAATAAAGTTTAAAAATAAAATATATTAAAATAAAATTTAAAAAGGCTTAATAAATGACAAAATAATAATTAAAATGTGGGCCATAAGCCAGATCTGGTTATTTAAAGCTCTAATATAATAAATTAGTACATTAACATAATATAATAAAAACAGACGTTTCAACCTACATCAGATCATTCTCAATGTTAAACGATAAAATTAAAACAAGAAAAAAGAATTTTTTAAACATGAAACGGTAAAAATAAAGATATGTTTATTATTAAAAATTTATTTGCAAAATAAAATGTCGTAACAATACCAAAATCGAAAATTCAAACGCAAATCTTCAAATTATCGCAGTGGACAGACGTCGAAAAATATAAGACATAAACGTATGGTTCTCCCAAATTTGAAGCAGAGACACCTACCATTTAGCTTTCATAGCTTAAGACTTAACTTTCTTTGACTTGGCTTTGACTTTCGATACATAACGCAAAACTGTCACTTTTATACTGTTAATTATTTTAAATTGTGAACGATTTAAATTGTTAACGATTTACTGACTCCTGAATTCAGCTACTCAGGTTTCCACAACGTTACTGACTTTTACAATTTTTTGACCTTGTTTCTGCTTCAAATCTAGGAGGACTGTACGTTTCTGTTTTATACTTCTCGACGACTGTCCTCTGCGATAATTTGAGGATTTGAGTATTAATTTTCGATTTTGATATTGTTACGACACTTTATTTTGCGAACAGAATTTTAATAATGGACAAATTTTTATTTTCGCCGTTTTACATTAAATTTTTTTTCTTGTTTTAATTTTATTGTTTAACATTGAAAATGACCTGATGTATGTGAAAACGTTTGTTTTTATTATATTATTTTATGTACTAACTCTTTTTATGAGAGCATTAAATAACTGGCTTAGGCTTGTAGCCCATATTTTAATTATTAAGTTAAAATAAGTTTTAAAAATTTGTTTAAATAATAAAACAGGAAACATTGTATTATTAATATAATAAGCAATAGCAATAGATAATTTTATATTCATAGTTCATTATCTTTTAATTTGAATTCTCAGTTTCTATTTTAAAAAAACTATATGAATGTTAAAACTTACCGTTCTTTTTGGGCAGTAAAATCGATTATGCAGGTCGTACAACGAATTGCAACTGATTAATTCTTCGACTTCGACTAAAGAGTATTTATATGTTACTTCATATCTCACTTGTGCAATAAATTTCTTTAATGTATCCCGCGCGCGAAGAAAACCTGCTTTCTTCCAAATAATTCCGTAGGTCAAAGAAACATGTACAAAAATTTCTAGAAGGAATAAATTAATTTTGATATGTCTATATGTACCGACTGTGTCTAATCGACAGATCGTATAGTTCTGTACATTTTACATTATACAACATAATTTTAAATTTATATTAAATCACGAAGAAGGACATAATAAACTATTCGGATAATTACTGCAATGAATTGGAGTATCTGCGATTCGCGTGAATTATGAATTGCAATTCTATTACTGTCATAGAACGGCTATTGCCGAGAATTGTGTTGAAGCTTGGATAAATTTTAATAGATCGAAGTTGAAATCGCGATCGCGCTTGGGAGTACTCTCTAAATTTTCTAAAATGAATTTTCACTCTTTTGGAGTGAATCTCACTTCAAAAGAATGAAAATACTGCCACTCGGCTACTTGAGTTTATTATTATAAAGTTATTTTCAGATAATAATATAATTTCCAAAAGAAGAAGCATATACCAAAAAAATATACTTCTACTTTTGTTTCGATATTCGATTGTATCATAAATGATGTTTGATGTTTTATTATTCGAACTTTTATAAATTTCTTTTGTAATAAAATTACAAATTTTTGATATTTGATTAGTTTTTGATATTTTTTTACAGGCAAGTTTTATTAAGACAATTACGGAGGGAAGAATTTTATTTATTAAAAAAAAATGTATTCTGAATATTCAGTACACAACCGCAACCTGAAAAAGTCGCTTGCTATACTAAAAACGTATGTATAAGATAAAACATATTTTAATTATAATATTTTTAATTATAAAAATATATAAAAGTTAACTATTAAATGTATAAAATTCTATTAAATAATTGTATATCTTACTGTCCTTACTAGGTTTGATTACTATTCAGATGAAGATTTAGTTTTATTAACAAATGAACATTCCAATTTTAAAGACGCGAGAAAAAATTTTTTTGACATTTATTTTAAAAATGCTATGACGTAAGTATGAGTGAATTCCTAACAAGGCTAGACATATCGTAATAATATTTCTAATTTTTCTAATTCACTTTCACTTTCTAATTTTAGTTTAAGACAATCGTCGATAAACTTCGAAAATTTAAATGAGACAGCTAACGAAAAAATTTTTTCTCTAACTGAGCACAATTTAGCAGTGGATCAACAAGCAGAATTGCCAATAAACCGTTCCGGATTCCGCGTTCGCAAACATCATCATGCGTAGCGTTCGCAAACATCAGCCGCTTTCTTGTATATTGCCCGTGGTGAGCAGACCCTGAGCGATGGAAGTCATGCGTGCCCCGCGTGAGCGCCCCGTGCGAGCCTCTCGCTCACGTACGCGCCGTACCGGATGTCACGCAACCCCCATGCGCAGTTTTCAAGAAACGAGTCCTTGCGCATAGCACTTCGCTCGCGAACCGGAGAGTTCGCCGCCGGATCCCGATCGATACGGATCTTAGTATTGCCTACCGCTCTCGTTTTCGCGAACTCCGCTATCTCGTCATCGGTTTTATTTAACCGAACCTGCATTAGTGCAACGCCTTTAAATTGTGATCGGTTGTATGACTATCGTCAACCGAACCGGAGGGCGCAAGTACGGGGTGCATTGCCGAATCGGCGCCGCTCATTACGTTGCGGTGTGTACCACGCCAGGACGATCACGCGTTTACTGCGTGACTTCCGCATTCCAGCCATCATCGTACTCGTTACGACTTCCGCACAGTTTGCGGGCGCGTCTTGAAGATTTCCGTCTCGTAAAAAAGATCTCCGTTTCGTAAACGTTCGCGTCACGCGGAATCCGGAACGGTTTATTGGCAATTCTGCTTGTTGATTCACTGCTGATAAATTGTGCTCAGTTAGAGAAAAAATTTTTTCGTTAGCTGTCTCATTTAAATTTTCGAAGTTTATCGACGATTGTCTTAAACTAAAATTAAAAAGTGAAAGTGAATTAGAAAAATTAGAAATATCCGCGTTACCTGCATTGTCACATGCAAGATTTCCGAATACTCACAGCGGCTCGTAATTCCGCGTGTGACACCTACCAGCCGTAGCTATACCGCTCGCATCGACATTGTGCATCACTAATTAATAAACGTCTGAACCAACATCAGTGCTGAGTTTGTTTCTTTGGAAAGTCACCCGCCTTGGAGAGCGAACCTTCCGTTTTAAGGTAGCACCAGCCTATCCTCAACGCGAACACGTTTGGAAAGCAGTTCTGAAAGATTAATTGCTACGTAAGTATTTTTAAATATACGGTTAAATTTACGGTCAAAAATATTTTCATTAAAATTAATTCTTAAATAATTTTACTGACCCCATTCAAGCAATCGTGAAAAGAAAAAAGAAAGAGATCTTTCTAAAAAGATGACTAGGTCCAAATTTGTTGCTTTGAAATATAAACGCATAATTACAAATCCACTAAATGAAAGTAGCGAATAATGAAACATATATGCCAAAATATTGATTATAGATTATACTGACAAATACCTTTATGCCTAGAGTAGAGGTGTGCGAATAATTCGAATTTGAATCAAATTGAATCGCATCACAGTAGATTCGATTCGATTCAATCATGCTTGTTCGCACATCTCTACCTCACAGATAATTATGACGTACAACTCTGATGGAGTTGTAAAATGTACGTAATACGCATAAAATATATGTAATAATAGAGTGCATAAAGGTACGCTTGCATATAAATAAATGCGGGATTTTTAATAATTGCGGGATGGACAGTAATAAAAATAATTTGAGGAATAAACCCGCTAAATTATTTCTTTTTGAAAAAAGTTTATTAACTTTCTTAATAATAAAATAAATATAGCCAATAAAAAGACAGTCGGATAAAAAGGCACGAGGACTTTGTATTTTTATACCCGACGCTTTCGTTGCCAATGTTGCAGAAATTTCGGATATCCAGCCTGACCTAGCTACACTCTATAATATCTGACGACGAGACCCTGCCGCCGAACTTGGTTGTTGCCGTATGTTACACTATAGTCTTTCAAGCGGTAGGCCATCGTATACATCGCTGATCTCACCCGTCGCCTTAGCTTAGAGACGCAATTTCCAACCGCGGAAGCCAAATTAACGCCGAATTTGATAAATGGTGAGTCATACATATTTTATTTAAGATTTACTTCTAATAAACTTCTGTTTATGTAAAACTTTTTGAAGTAGATTTAAGTCTTTATTCTTGTAAATAACGGAAGATTTGTGTACACTAATAATTCTCTTGCGTTTCTATAATTTTAGATGCCAACAGTCTTCTTAGCGATACTAGTACAATATGGCGAGACGATGCAGAATCTATGGTTGGCTCTGTATGCTGGGTCTCCCCGGAGTGCTACAGAAGTCAATCCAGCCTCATTGACTTCCGCATCTCGGTCCATCGGTCGGGCGGAAGTACAGCTCAGGTGCGAATATAATTTTTTTGACGTTAAAATTAAAATTAAAAATCATTTTTATATCTTATGTGTATTTACTTTTAAATTTGTAAATTTATAGGTATTTACTGCAGCTGTTTCTTGAAGGCAGTATAGGATGGGCTGCGGTGATAGCTACCGTTCTTCGAGACGCGGCGTTCATGGCTAGAACTATCAGAACGGCACATGCACCGATGCAAACTTTCGACTCTATAATCAAAGAGATGGATTGCTTACGTTGACCAAGTGGTCTCATTCAGAATGGTATGTGTGCAGTATTATTACGTGTGTGTATCTTCGTACAATGTATATATATGCAATCTTTTAAATGTTGAAAATTTAACTATTTGCTTTAACAAGAATTTATTTTTTTTTTGCAAAAATATTTTCTTAAATTAATATTTTCTTAACGAGTGACTTATAAAATATGACTTGTTGCTAGAAAATATCGATAATTAACATGTGTTGATATCGCAACATTTATTCAATTTTAAACTTACATTCATTAAAATTTCTACAACTTAATTATTATTAATTAAATATTGATCCCGATTTCTGACATATTCCAATTTCAGTTTGGAATACCGTCTTTTCATGTCCAACATCCAAAGCCAGATATCGTTGTTGAATCGACTGGTGATAATCAAGCAACAGCAGGAACAGGAACAGATACCGGAAAGACCTTTGCCAAGCCCGGCTCCGTCCGCCGGCAGCAATCAACGCGGCATTCTCTCCCGCTCGAGGCATTCTTCGATCAGTCACGCCTCCAACACGGCT